CATCAATTTCCGAAAATTTTGGTAGACAATAAATCAAACATCAAATGGAACGAACGTATATATACATACCATGTATTAATAGGATGAGTCAAGATCTAACAGTTACAACTGTAACAGAAAGAAGATCTTTGGAGACACCTTCAGAACTTATGATAAATTTCTTTTGTACATTTGAAACTAAATAATTATAAGTTCCTTGAAACTGAAATTGATTTAGGTAAAGGTAGTATATTAAGTGTCTTTTGTGTACTCTTCAGAAGGGAAATGAAAGATTATCTCTGGAATATCACTGCACCAACATTTGTCTAAATGATTTTGTATCAGGGAATCGAACCGAAATGCTGAACATCGGCCTAACATCTGAATCACGCTGTCCAATGCAGTTTTAGTAACAATGCTACAGAAGGAAAAGCAAAATACCAAACGGAAAATGTTAATCCGAATACCAAATACTTTGTTACCATTACAAACTTACTCTCAATTATTTATATGTTAACAATAAATTTTATTATGTGTAAAGTGGTCGACCAACCAAAAAGACTGAGGACTGATCGTTTAATATCAGATAATTTATGAAAGTACATGCGATAAAAAATGAGCACCATGCAACCCTAACTTAATAATAATGACCAAGCGATTCGACACATCACAGAGCCGGATCTATATACGGGCTTTTTGGGCTCCAACTCAGGGAGCCGTGGACATAAAGCTTTATAATTTATATAACAGAACTATTTTTTATAGTTATAGTTTTTTGACGAAATGGTAATTAGTTTGATTAATTAACCCCTCAAGTAAGGTTAGCCTAGGCCCCTTAACATACTCACAGTCCAAAATCATTTAAAAGGGGTTGTTAAAAGTAAACCTTTGAGGAAGAGCAAAACTTAAAATAAATATACCTAAATATACCTGAAAACTAAATTTTGAATAAACGTAATGTTTAGAAATGGTCTCTGTGCTTCATAATATAAAATCACATACAGAATGTAATTTCTACTCAGCAAATGATAGTTGAACATCATAAGGTCTATCTACGTTTAATATTTCGCTATAGCCACGAATTAAATTATGTTTTATTAGTGTCGTGCTGGTGCCGATGCCGGTTCGTCTATGAATAGTAGATGTAAAGGTTTAATTTTTCTTCACTCCGTCCGTAGCCATCGTGGATCGTATTCTCAGGATCGACAGTTGAACGTGTCCAACGAAGATGCGATGGATGTATAAAATACGTTATGATATGAGTACTGACGGACGGACAACTATAAAGATCAAAAGAGCCGCAAGGACTGCCATCTAAGTGTAATAAAGACATTAAAACAAGTGCTTCTGATACCTGTGTTTCTTTATCTTACAGAAAGCTATTTGAATTTTACTCACCGATGACCCCCCATAAAAACCCCTTCGGATGACGATTTGCGACCGCTTTATGACCAAGATGAGATGCCATTAATCCTGGTGTTTAGTTAAACAGTTTATTTATTCGTGAGTCGACGCCGCTCTTTTATGTACCGCTTTTAATTATTTATTTTTCAACAATGCTCACCTATGCCTACACTAAAACATTAAACTTTATGTACATTGCGTTACGTTGCATGCCAATAATTATGAATTTTTTTCAATGCACTCATGAACTAAGAGAAAAAAATTAAAATTCGAAAGAATGCTCCAATGGTTAATATCCTGAAGAATTTGCATTTGTTTACGTATAAAACACCTTAATATCCATTCCACCCTTAAAAATGAAATATTTTCTTCAAGTTTTAATGGATCTTCCTTGAAATATATACCCCAATCACATAAAAAAATCATGAATATTAATTTCCAGTCGGTCAAGAGATATTTAGTACATACAACATACAAAAATATGCAGTCGAAGTGAGAATTTCCTTTTTTTTTTTAAATCGATTGAAAAGTCGAAATACGCTTCGACCGGATCATCTTTATTAACAGCAAACTTACCACTATAAAAGCAGTTTGAACCTTAAATATCAAATTACAACGTACATGTAAACCAAATACAACTGACTGTTTTTCTATTAGTGAAGTTCGTCTAGTAGGAGATACCTAATATCATAAATCGGTAATGACCATGGGATGTTTTCTGTCAGTAGCTTAGTTTGTTTATCAAATTATTTCTCCTAGAAACTGCTAATTTAAATGCTATAACAATTTAGATGTATACTCTTTCTGAAATTATGCAATCATTTAATATTATTATCTTTATTGAGCAAATTTTATTTTAAATGGGCGTCTATCTTCACAAATTTGCATTTGCAGGGTGCATCACGTTGCCTAATGTAAAAGGTGCTACAATCCTTGCATAATACTTTATAAATCCTGTTTATAGGGATTTGTCCTAATTTGATTTAAAGTTTGCACATTTGTTCTTCGAGATAATCATCATGAGATTATTGTAGGAATGAATGAAAGGGATGTCCCGGAGTGGTATATTAACGAAACGCTTTTCAATTCCTTGGGGTCTTTCTACCAGGAATCGTCAAAGTTGGCCAAACTTTTTCTTCAATTTTGAAGATGTAAGACCTGATTTTAACTAGTACGAGCATGCTGAAGTCGAATATCTCGCATTCATTTCTCACTAACAATCATAAATTAATTTAATAACTGAATTTCCTTTACTATTATAAGATAAAAACGACATTTCGACAACATACGTTGTTCATATTGGATACTTTTATATAAAAATTGTTGAGTTTTTTTATTTTCATTTCTTTAATATTCATTTAATGTTTTTTTTACTTATTTATGTACTTAATACTTTAAATTTTGTATGAAAAAACCCTTTTTAATTAAATATTTGTCTCAACTATTCAGTTTTGCTACATAAAGAAAATTGATAACTTTATTTGGACTTGATGATAAATGTAAATTCTCTCTACGAAATTTTAGAAAAAGAAAATTATTCCTATTTATTTTTGTTATTCTACCTAATGCGGATGGATTCAAATTATTTTTAATAAGAATTGAGGTCATACAGTTTGACGTTAAACGAATACGTAAACAAAATGTAACCAATCAACTGTTATCTTTAAACAGGTACTCTTTAAATTACACCGAACTATTTACTCTAAATCCTTAAAGTAGGTGGTAGAGTCTCTCCGTAGTTCAAATAACATTTCTTGGCTACTGTTACGTTACAGTTTAATTTTGTATACTTATCCATTATGCCTATTTAAGTTTTAAAAGATATCTTGCTGTTTGTGTAAGTGCTGAAGACGGATTTACCCAATTTATCGCAAAAAATGCTACCTCTACCTCCTAGGCAGATTATTTTTTATAGAGACTTCGTGCCGCTCGTCATTATCACAATTTAAAACGTAATAAATACAACTCAATATTAATTTCCACAAAATTATATCAGAAAGCCTAAACAATTGATTCACCGTACAAACGCGTAGTGATAAGTAAAGCATGACGAAGACCAAGATTGTTCCAGTCTTAGTTTTGGTCTTGGACTTGCTTTTTCGGTCTTGATCCTGCTCAATAGTTCTAGTCTTTGTCTTGCTGATATAGTCTCGACCTTGGTTTTGGTCTTGCTGGTACAGTCTCAGTTTCGGCCTTAGTCTTGGTCTTACGTGTTAAGTCTTGATCTTGCTCATTTAATCTGATACTCACGTTTTTTTTAAATAATTCGTCTAAGCACAATTTTTTCTATTTATCGGCGCAATAATTGACTTAAATGCTGGAATTTTGTCATACATACAAGCTTGATATGACTTTTTAAAAGTTACAAGCTTCTTAAAAAGTTCTTCCATCTCATATGCTGGATGTGGACAATGGAAGATGGAAGGACCTCCTAAGAAGCTCGCCGCTCGTGCTAGCGAAACGTTAGGAATCAATTCCAACCGACGACGGTTTCTGGACTCGAATCAAGACAGCATCAGTTTTCCAATTGATCGCGAAAACTTTTATTTATTTATCAGTCACAATAATTTTTGTTCCTCGTAAGTAAGTTAATGGAACTTGTCAAGAGTACTTTAAACTAAATAACAAAATCATTCAAGGTAATGTATTTGTTCTTCGAAATGGGTCACCTGATGAACAGAGAGGTGTCCCTGGAGCGATTTCCAGTTGTTCGGCTAGTTCTTCCACCAAGCGGCGTCAAAGTTAACCAAACTTTTCCTTCAATTTTAAACATGCAAGATTCAATTCTAACTAATTAATTCGAATATCACGTTAATTTTGGCATAATTTCAATATTCATCTTCATCATAAGGTCGCCAGTCCTAAGACTGGTTGGACACGTGTCTCCACTCTTTCCTATCCTGAGCTAATCTTCGCATTTCCCTAAAATTAGAATAGCCCACATCCTTAACTATTTGCGAACAGTAATCTAATCTAGGTCTACCTCTACCCCTCTTAACCCCTGTTTCTGCCTCTAATATGTCTCTGACTAGACCTTCATGTCTAAGAAGGTGTCCTACCAACCTATCTCGCCTATTTTTTATTGACTTCCATAGAGTCCTCTGTCCCTTATCCTTTCCAATACCTGTTCATTTCTAACCTTTTCTACCCACGATATCCTTATCATCCGCCTATAACACCACATTTCGAACGCTTCTTACCTTTCAATATAATCGAAAAAAAAAATTCACTTTTTTTAAATGAGCATTTTGAAAGCATTTACAAATACTTATACAATATAATAAAAATTGAGCAGTAACGTCTAAATTAATTTTGCCCAGTTTGATCTATAATGAGTCCGTCAATATATGTAATGCATGACGGTTTGTAAAAGTTTTTCATCCTGTATACTAGTGCGAGTATGGAAGAGTAAACATTCACGAGATCCATAAGAGATTGCTAATATAAATCGCGAAAAACAAAGCGGTAGGTTCTAATACATGTAAGGTATATATATTGCAATGATACATACGCGGATAGTATATAGCACTTGTCACCATGATTCCTAGTTACCGGTCCAAGGTGTACGACCAATCAGGTAAGGCTAGGTGTGGCTTAAGAACTTCATCTTACGCTTCTACACAACTTTAGTGATGTTTCGATAATATATGTAAAGATTTGTGAAATGTAAGAAGTACTTATCGGTCTGGTGTGAAACAATAACAAATAATGTGCAATAAACGGTTAATTTACAAATTATAACGCGGTGGTGTTTATTAAATAAACATACAGAGCGTGACCGATGTGTAAAACATAAATAATTATTATACAATATATGAAAATTGGACTTTTGGTGCGACGGAAATTGGATTGATACTGTGATAAAACGGTGAGTTTATATAACCAATTGGAAATCGATATTAACGCAGTGATAACTTCGATGATGGATCAAGCGACGAACCCTCGCGTACCTGCTACACCACTTGCGTGCGCTCGAACGGTTACTAAAGCTCGCAATAAATAACACTTAGGGAACGTATATTACCTGTAACATAAATTTCAGTTATTATGCCTTTTTCATAGGCTAAATTAATGCACTTTGTTTCAGTATGTAGGTACTAAGCATGCGATTAAATATTAATTTACCAAACAGTGTTGCTAATCCAACTGGCGCGTTATTGCATCATGTTGAAAGAGAAGTCCTCCCGTTTTCTAAAAGCCATAAAATGTAGATAGGTACCTATATGCTTAATTTATGTCAACGCAACACAACTACCAACCTTTTCGTCATAAATTTCCTTTAACTGATTGGAGTAACTATAACCTACCACAAACATAATTATAATAAAATTTATTACCTTTATACCAAGCTGTTTAGTTACGCTTGCAGCGTCTTTAAATTAACTATTAAGTATTTTTCATGTGGGTACATACGTAGGTATTGGTTTTGAAAATCAGAAGTACCTACACAAGGGTTTCCTTTGAACCGTTTTTGTTTCATTTGCCATTTTCGGACTTTTTCAATTCCATAACGGGAACCACAGGGCATTTCGGTTAAGTAAAGAGCAAACAATTGTATAATGGTTGCATCTATTGAAATACATTACAATGGGTGAACTGTTTTTGCTTTTTTATAACTCTATTTATGGTGTTAAAGGTTGCTTGTATTTTCCGACGGACGATATACCATTTTGTTATTATGTTGGTTCAGGAGATTTGGTCTGTTATATTTATAGGTAAAAGGTAGTCTATTTGGTTATTAGTTACCCATAAAAGGTAAACTTTGTGGTGTTAAGATCCTTTTTTCTTTTTTGAGGGAATGTATGTAAAATGGCGGAAACCATATTCGGACGCCATCGTCTTTTATTTTTTTCTTGTTAGGGAATTGTCATATATAAACCTCTGTTTTTCAAATATAAACACTCATGGACTGTAGAGTCAATCTCCTTAATTACTCCTCAAATTTTAGAAAAAGGATTAAAATTTATTATAGGTAGTTGGTTCAGATTTTGCTTGCAATAAAATAAATAAATTATATTGTTTTTTTCAGGGCGGCGGTCAAATAATTAAACAACTATTTATTTGACCGCTATCCTGAAAAAAACCATGTAATTTAAAATTAACGGACAGGAATCTAACTTAAATTCAAAATAGATTTAAGTTCAATTTAATTGGTTTTAGTTCATTTAATCTGATACTCACGTTTTTTTTAAATAATTCGTCTAAGCACAATTTTTTCTATTTATCGGCGCAATAATTGACTTAAATGCTGGAATTTTGTCATACATACAAGCTTGATATGACTTTTTAAAAGTTACAAGCTTCTTAAAAAGTTCTTCCATCTCATATGCTGGATGTGGACAATGGAAGATGGAAGGACCTCCTAAGAAGCTCGCCGCTCGTGCTAGCGAAACGTTAGGAATCAATTCCAACCGACGACGGTTTCTGGACTCGAATCAAGACAGCATCAGTTTTCCAATTGATCGCGAAAACTTTTATTTATTTATCAGTCACAATAATTTTTGTTCCTCGTAAGTAAGTTAATGGAACTTGTCAAGAGTACTTTAAACTAAATAACAAAATCATTCAAGGTAATGTATTTGTTCTTCGAAATGGGTCACCTGATGAACAGAGAGGTGTCCCTGGAGCGATTTCCAGTTGTTCGGCTAGTTCTTCCACCAAGCGGCGTCAAAGTTAACCAAACTTTTCCTTCAATTTTAAACATGCAAGATTCAATTCTAACTAATTAATTCGAATATCACGTTAATGTTGGCATAATTTCAATATTCATCTTCATCATAAGGTCGCCAGTCCTAAGACTGGTTGGACACGTACCTCCACTCTTTCCTATCCTGAGCTAAACTTCGCATTTCCCTAAAACTAGAACAGCCCACATCCTTAACTATTTGCGAANCGAGTTTTGCGTAGAAATTCAATGCTGGGTCAAGCGACTAACCCTACAATAGCACATATTTTTCTCAAACACTTACGGTGTAAAACATGAATGCTGTATATGAGTTTATTGCGAACACTTGCAACTATTAAATTGAAACCTTGTACTCACTTTAACCGATTTGTCGTGATTTACTACTCAAATGTTAAGGCTGTTTATTTATATTAGTTGGAAAACTCAACTGCGGGGCTCGCAAAACACAAATAATAGAAATTAAACCATTTACATACTGAGGTAATATGAATTATCACTTAATTTATAAACGCACTTATATATTATAAAGAGGCTATGAGTTTATTTATTTAAAATAAAAAAGAGAATTCGAAAAACATTCGATTGACTTTGAGACAGATTATTATAAACAGAATAATAATAGGAATAATTATAGGAAGCTGAAATATAGTGTAATGTCTGTACGTTTTCATTTGTGTATCGCATAAAAAAAAACTACAAAAATCGACAATTTTCGATATTAGAAAAGTCAGATAACTCAGAGGGTGGAAACAAGAGAAGCACACGGTAGGGTCGCTTTCAACAAAAAGAAATATCTTTTGGGCTTCGATCGGTTAATTTGCAAATTTAAATAATATTATTAAAATGTAAATGTTTGGACCACGGTCCTGTAAGGATGCGAAATGTGGACACGGTAGAAATTAGCAGCGATTGTAAATTCTGCGGATTTAATTGTTTTTTGTTAATTACAGCGGTATATAGACGCAGAAAATAAAAACAATCTCTTAAGTGCCAAACGCGAATTATTAGAAAATGTTGTTACATACTGTCTTATAATATATAAATTAGAAATAATAAGTGGGACTGATTTTAAAAGCGATCCTTAAAAACAAATTGTGCAATTAAACTTAAGTTCGTTTGTGAACGTAAAAGACTTACTTATTTCTTTTCATTTTTAAATTGTTTTAGAACGCTTTTTTAAATGTGTTGACATTTCAATTTTTGTTGATAAAGAATAGAAATAATTTTATATTCGTGTGCAAAGTAAGAAAGAACATTTATTGTTATTTTTATGACTGTATATATTGCAATCCTGTAGAAAGTAGGATTTGGAAAAATTATTTTGTTTTGTTCATGTAAAAATTACTGAAGGTTGTTAATGCAGTTCATTAATTTGGCAAATGTTTTTTAAGGTTTGACAGTAAAATAAAACTATGATGGTAGGCTGAGTATCTTCTGAAAAGAACTTAGTATAAAAGCCTCTGATTATAATCGTTTTTTCCTTTTTAATTTGAAGCAGCGCTGTCCTATCAAACTATTAGATTTAGATATCAGTTTATTGTGTTCTACAGATACATATAAGTTATTAAACACTCTACAGCCACTTTTATTACCTAATTGCCATTTTCACTGGGTCGATAATGATTTAATCGATGAACTTGGCACCGCAGGAAGTGTAACTAATTCATTAATGTGTCTGAAAACAACAGTTCAATTAATATAAGTCGCGTCAATGAGGAAGAATGGAATTTTTCGTTTAAATATTCAATTTTGTTTGAAGTTTATTAAAAAATTATACGGTAGGTGTTAAAAAATAAAAACGCTTCTGATCTGTTTATTCAGACATAAAATATTTAAACTATAATACCCCCAGAAACTATGATTAATAAAATACTTTGGACTATAAACATTATTTACTTCTAAAACTAATAGATTAAATATCATGAAGATAAATTTCTGAATAATTCGGGGCCTATAGTTAGGAGCCTGAAAAGGAAACAATTTATTTTCAAAAAAATGTGAATCAATTCTACATTTGCTAATTCAAATGCTATCACGTTTAATTATCACAATATACAGAAAATGCCATTAACCAACAGTTTCTTTATAGAATGATCAATAACCTTTTGAAATTTAATTCATCAAATTGAACGTATGGAAATTCGTACTCGAAACTTGTAAAATCCGAAGGTCACCATTGACCCTTTAAAATTTAATATTTCCAGTGGAACACATGAATATTCGTACCCAAAGCATTTAAAACCCGATGGTGGTTATTCATCCTTTGAAATTTAATTCAATCGATTGAACATATAAAAACTCCCACTTAAACTCGTAAAATCCGATGATCGATATTGACCCTTGAAATTTAATTCACCAAATAAGACGTACGGAAATTGGTATCCAAAAATTAATATATACCATTTAATTGCCGAGAAATACTCAGATCTAAGATCAGTACCCCTGCCGCAGCACCCTTTTACCTAGAACCCATGAGAATCTCCTTACATTGTACTTGGTAACTTGCTGGTCTCTTGCCCTGAAGTCTACATACGACAAACTAAAAGAAAGCTTGAAAAACGCTTCTCAGAACACAAGAATAGAATATAGAAAGAACCCGTTTATTTACGATTGATAAAGTAAGAAATATTCTAAACAAAGCCACAATGAATTTTTGGGATAATAAAAATACTAATATTTAAGACAAGCTACTGCCTTTTTTGCAAAAAGTATTGCGAGTTGATTGATTGAGAATTAAAAAAACTCCATAATCCAAAATCATAAAGTAATAGAAAAATATTGTACAGTTGGTACGTTCGAAATTGCCAAAGTGCTCTATAAATTATCTGTAAGAATGCACGTATCTTCTTTCGTACTTCCACTTGGAACTGCAGTTATTTGCTGCGTTTTGTTAAGTTAAGAAATTCTTCATAAGTAGTACAGACAAAGTGAAAACCGAATAACAGTAAGCGGTGCAGCGGTTAGGGGTTGCAAACGATCAGGGTCGGTTTTATATCTGTCTGGAATTATATCTTTAAACAAGCGTCTTTCCTAAATTCCTGAGATTGTTGATTTTATTTAAAGTCCGATGCTGGTAACATGCTTAAATTCTGCTTCTCTTTCTGTTACACATTAATTGGTGTAATGTTATTGCCTCTTATTTATTAGTGTCCGCTGCAATTCTTCCCTGGCATCTCTTTTCT